CATTAAGGGAAAAGTTACATTCAAGAGCAGGCTGTACTTTTCTTTAACTATCAGTAAATTAATCAGAGACTATACCACACAGTTGATTACAAAGATTTTATAAAAATTAACTGCTATCCCTCCTCACACATTTGCATTTTAATGCCAAAAAAAAAAAAATCAGGGCAGCATAAACTGCCTGTTTCTATACCCTGGAAGAAGTACTTGGGAAGTATTCAAACTGCCATTGGGCAGCACAACAGGACAGCACAGACACCAACACCTGATTTCTAGCATTATTCTCCCTCCTGGTGCATCACAAACTTGGCTTGTGATCGAGTCATTCATAGAATTATTTTCACAGTAAACCATTCAACAGCTAACATTGTTTTCTTAAGTAAGGAAGCTTAAAGTCCTTCCTCTTGCCTAGTTACAGATTTTCAGAACCATATGACTCTATCTTCCATACCTTTATTTTCAGAATCATATGACTCTTATCTTCCAGACCTTTAGGTCCAGTAAAATTTAGCTGAAATCATGCAACAGAATAAAAGATGGGGACAGAGCTGCTCAGATCCTCATGCAAGCCCCCAGCATGAACAAGACTTAACTAGAAGACAGACCCCAGAGAAATGCGAAGAGCATTTACTGACAGTTCCAGAGAGCATGTAATAAGTGCTGCCATGCAACAGTGCTAACGCATCATGAGACATCCGTAGTAAGAGAGCATCATATCTGCCATTTAAGCTAACAGTTGTGACGCTACCAGTTTCTACTTACTTTTGTAGATAGAGCAAAAGATAATGAAGAACAAGCAAGCCTAAACATGCTCTAAAATTGTCCAGCAAATTGATAGTGAAGGAAAACTGAATTGTGAAAAGTGGATTAGAAATGAACACAACTACAGAGAGGTTTGACAGTCATCAAGCTGATCCTTGTGTAAGACAGGAATGGACATGTAAGACATGATGTACAGAACCTGCTGGCTAAGCATGAAAAGTAACCTGCAATTCTGGCCATAACAAGCAGCTCAGAAAATAAGGCACTAAGAACCATAAAAGATCGTAAATTACAACAATCAAGGCATTGTTACAGCAGTGATTTGCTGTCTTGTCACAAGGGAGGTTAAAAAACCTATTCTGAGTCTCATTTATGATGAAATTTGTGAAATCTTACAGGCATTTCTGAAAAGCGCTTGTTGAAATATAGTCACCAAAGCTAAACATTCAATGCAAAAAACGTATACTGCTATATAGTTATATGCAATAAAAGCAAAGTGTGTGCAAAAGTATTCTCATAATTTGAGTTTTATATTAAGTTGAACACATTCACTACTTGTTCAACTCCAGACAAAACAAAATGCACCTGTGACACATTAGGACTGGATCTACCACACAATTTGTATTAATCTAAGAGGTGAGAAGACCTAGCCTCACGTAACATAGCCATCGACCCTGTGTCATATATCGGGTTGGGGTGACAGTACAAGGAAATAAAGCAAAAAGTTACATATGCTAAGGAATTTAATACAAAAACAAGTATGTACGAACAGGTCTCTAAAAGATATAGGTCAGAAGTTTGAAAAAATTAAGATTTTAAGATACGTCATGAAAAATTCAAGGAAGTGCACCACATGGTCGCTTGAGATAGCAAGGCACTTCTAACTAGCTCATTAACTAAGGGAATAAGGCCATCTGACAGATTCATTCTGCAAACAAAAGTAGCATATGAAAACATCACTAAGGTTAGAACAGGAAGTTTGCTGCCAGATATCCCCATTCCTACCATCTGCCATTAGAAAACATCCTGTGCATTCCTTAGACACCTCAGTTAAAGTTAGCAATCTATACTCCTTAGCCATCCTCAACAGCATGTTTCAGCTCACCCGAATTATTTCGCCTAGCGGATTTATAGAGCAGAAGTTCACAAGTTCTTCAAAAAAGCACAGAGAGGTGAAAACTACCTGGTAAAGAACTACCTCTGTTCACAGTGTGATGGATAGCAGGAAGTTAAAAACAGTCATCTCACTTCAAAAGGGGGTTGAAACATGAATATAACTTAGATGCAGCTAAATACGTTTACACTGCAGAAGTGAGATTATGTAGCTACTTAAAAACTACGTGTTTTTTTACAGGGTATTACATAAAACTGAAAAAGCAGATGTTCCCCTGACAGCCTGTTTGTGATCTGAACATGAATTGATTGCTGTCGCTTACGTGCAGAAAGCATAAAACATACGCAATTCTGTTTTGCTTTGGTACCAGCATTGATACTGCCATTGTAATTTGTAGTTTAATCAAACTACCTTTCAGGACAAAACTCTAGCACACAGTATATTCTAGTTACCTTATGATGGGGGTTAACATTAAGCAGCAGAGGTGGGATCATACTAACAGCCTCCTGACGACTGATATTTCCCTTGAAAGGAAGAAACAAAACCAAAACAAACTCATTTTTATTCCATTCCAAAAGAATGCATTTCTTTTGCGATAAATTTTTAAAATCTCTATGTAGTAAAACGATAAAGCAATTGAAAACACAGCATTATAAACTTAGGATTAAATTTTGTTAGCATTTAACAAACAAAATCACAGTATTTCACCCAATTGAAATTTCTGATAATGGTGCATTTACTCTGATCTTATTCATTCTACGGATGTAGCTTCTGCTCAAGAGATGAGAAACTGGCTTCAATCAATTGAGAAAACATCCATCGCTAAAGGTAAGACTCAGTATGAATGCACGTGTGCTTTTTACCAGATTCAAACACCTGGTTTCTAACAGCAACTAATTATTTTACAGGGACTCGTTTTGACATTCTCAAACAAAACAAAAAAAAATTGCAACTAGTTTAGGGGAAATATTTGTAACTGTGGTTATGTGCCAGTCATGGGACGAATTACTGTCAACAGCAACATAAACATCCAGATTCTTGTGAGCTACTCAACTTCTGAGAGAAAAGGTACAGCCTGAGTTTCTCATCATGCATTTAAATAAAATGCTGCTCAGGATATGAAAGGGAAAAAAAAAAAAAAAAAAAAATCAAGATCTATCCAAAACTTACACATTCTGTCTCGCTAACCAGAAACTGATGAAACTTTTCCAGTTGCGGTGACTTGCGTAAGATTTTTCTACTCAAGTTAGTGTGCCAGGCTAACTCTTCTGGATACCTGGGGGAAAAGAGACAGGAAAAGGGCAGAGGCAAAAGACAGAAACAAACCAGTTGGTCGGGCCCGACGTCGGGAACACATGGGGTGCCTTACTTCACTTCCAGCTCGCTTACCAGCTCAGCGACTGCGGCATTTCGACTTTTTGGCCATCTACCTCTAGGTCCTGCAGCTCCTTGAAGTACTTTTCCTTCAAGCAGTGGAGAATTTCTTTGGCGTGACTGCAAGGGAGAGAGACCCTCAGAAGGAAGCCGGATCGAGACGCCCCTTCTCCAGGCAGCAGACCGCCTCCCCGGTCAAAACGGCGGGTACCTGCCCGCCCAGGGCACCCGGGGGAGCGGGGGGT